GGGCAGAAATGGGGTGAAATTGGACATAAACGGGATAAAATGGGGCAAAAAGGGACAAACGGGGGAAATGGGGGGAAAAGGGGGAAATGGGGGGAAAAGGAGGAAGAATGGGGTAAAACTGGGCATAAATGGGGCACAAAGGGGCAGGAATGGGGCAGAAAAGGGGGAAATTGGGGGAAATGGGATAAAAAGGGGCAGGAATGGGGCAAAACGGGGGAAATGGGGCAAAAAGGGGAGAAATGGGGGGAAACGGGGCAGAACGGGGCAAAATTGGGCATAAATGGGGTAAAATGAGGCAAAAAGGGACAAACGGGGGAAATGAGAGGAAAAGGGGCAGGAACGAAGTAAAATTGGGGGAAATGGGGGGGAAAGGCCCGTGATGTTCCAGCCCCGAGGGGGGGGAACCCAAAGGTGGGTTCTCCATTGTGCTGGGAGGGCAGGGGGGAGTCTGGGTGCCCCCCACCCATATCGGGGGGGGGGAGAAGGGGCCGGGCGGGATTCCTGGAGCCGGTTGGGCCGGACGGGCCCCCCCCTCCACCCTGGAATGGCCCCACGGGGGACCCGCACCCACCCCAGGAATGGGGAGGGGGGTGGGGGGGGTCAGTGGGGCGATGTGGGGCCGCTGGGAGGAGCTGGAGGTGGGGGGAGACCCCAAAAGGTGTGTGGGGCTGGTGCCGTGCTACACCCCCTGCACCCCACAAGTTGTGTGGTCAATGCCCTCCCCTGTGCCCCCCACCCCACAAATTATGGGGTCACACCCCCATCCTTCTGCCCCCCACCCCCCAGTTATGGGGCCAACACCCTCTGCTCCCCACCCCTCAAACCCCCCTCCCCCCAGTTCTGGGATGGATCCCTGTCTCCCTCCCAGTTGTGGGATCGATCCCTGTCCCCCCACCCCAATAATGGGATCAATCCCTGTCCCCCCACCCCACAATAATGGGACCGATCCCTGTCCCCCCACCCCACAATAATGGGACACGTCCCCCTCCCTCTCCCCAGTTCTGAGCCTGATCCCCGTGTCCCTCCCAGTTGCGGGACCGATCCCCGTCCCTCCCCCCTCAATTTTGGGACCAATCCCTGTCCCCAACCCCCGTTTGTGGGTCTGATCCCTGTACCTCAGTTCTTGGACCGAGCCCTGTCCCCCCCCCTACTTTTGGCGTCAATCCCTGTCCCCACACGCAATTATGGGACCGATCCCTCTCCCCCTCCCAGTTGTGGGGCCGATCCTTTTCACTCTCCTCCCACTTTTGAAGCCAATCCCTGTCCCCATACACAACTATGAGACCGATCCCTGTTCCCCTCACACTTCTGGGGCCGATCGCTGTCCCGTCCCCCGTGACCCCCCCCGGTTTTGGGACCGATCCCTGTCCCCCTCCCACTTTTGGGGCCAATCCCTGTCCCCACACACAACTACGAGACCGATCCCTGCCCCCCTCCCACTTCTGGGACCGATCCCTGTTTCCCCACACACAATTATGGGGCTGATTCCTGTACCCCATTTGTGGGGCCGACCCCTGTCCCGTCCCTCCATCCCCCCTTCCCGGTTATGGGGCCAATCCCTGTCCCCACACACAACTACTGGGGGCTTCCTGAGAGGGGGGACGGGACGGGGACCCCTCGGGTTAAGGGGGGGCTCCTGGGTGAGAGGGGGACCTTGGGGGGGTCCTTGGGAGGGCTCTCCGGTCCCAGCACCCCTAAAACCCCTTTAGGACCCCAAAAAACCCTTTTTTCCCCCAACATTTATGGGGTCCCCGCCCTCCTGGGCCGCTGGGGGGCGCCACACGCCGCCACCACCCAGCCCCTGCGGCCCCGCCCCTTTCTGCGTGGATTGGCGGAGAACACAAGAGGGGCGGGGCTTGATGGAGGCAGGAGCCAGCCATTGGGCGATAATGAGGGGTGGGGGGCGGGACCTACGCGAGGCGGAGTCGGATTGGTGGTGGAGCGGGCGGGGGGCGGGGCGCGCGCTCCCTCCCGCGCGCGTGCGCGGCTGGGTGTGCGTCACTTCCGGGTTAGCGGCGGTTTCCGCCTCCCGCTGGGCCTGGAGCCGTCCCGGGACCCCCCAGATACCACCGAGACCTCTCCGGGACCCCCTCGGGACCACCCGGAACACCGCTGGGACCCCCTTGGTCGCCCCCCGAGACCCCCTTAGACCGCGCTTAAATCTCCCTGGGACTCCCTTGACCCCCTCTGAACCCCCCAGGACCCACCCCCGGGCCTCCGCGGCTCCTCCCCCGGCCCCCCCCAGTGTCCCCCCCCGGCCCCCTTTCAGCCCCGGGTCGGCGCGGGGGGCTCCCGGGGATGCCTCCCCGCCATGTGGTACATCATGCAGAGCATCCAGAGCAAGTACTCGCTGTCCGAGCGCCTGATCCGAACCATCGCCGCCATCCGCTCCTTCCCCCGCGACAACGTCGAGGAGCTCATCGGCAGGGTGAGACCCCCGGGGGGTTTGGAGGGACCCTCACCGGCAGGGTGAGACCCCCGGGGAGGGGAGAAGGTGGGCTGGGAGCCCAGTCGGGTGGGTTTGGAGACCCCTGGGTAGCTTTGCTGACCCCGGGGTGGTCCCTGTGCCCCCAGGGTGCGGACGTGAACTGCCTGCACGGGACGCTGAAGCCTCTGCACTGCGCCTGCATGGTGGCTGACGCCGACTGCGTGGAGCTGCTGCTGCAGAAGGGAGCCGAGGTGGGGCTGGGGGAGCACAAAACCCGGATCAAACCCATCAAAACACGGAGTTCCCGCGGGAAAAGGGGGCCTGGGAGGTCGGGAGGCAGTGGTGGGTGCTGAGGGACAGCTGGAGTTGGGCTGGTTGGATTTTGGGAAGAGGTTCTTCCTCCCCCACCCAGAGGGGGGTCAGGCACTAGAAGGGGCTCCCCAGGGTTTGGTCACGGCCCCAAAGCTGCCAGAGCTCAGGGAGAGGGTTGGGATGATCCTCTCAGGGGTTGGGATTTGGAATGGGGGGGATTTTGAGGGGTCCTGTGCCGGGTCAGGGGTTGGACTGGATGATCCTGGTGGGATTTTAGGGGGGGGTCTTGTGCAAGGGCCAGGGTTGGACTCAATCTTTGTGGGATTAGTGAGATTTTGGGGGATTAAACTTAATTAAAGGTTAGATTTAACTTAAACCTAAACTGAACCTAATTTAAGGTTAGGATTAACTTAAACTTAAAGATTTAGGTCAGGTAATGTCTAGGTCAGGTTTAGGTCAGGTTTAAGTTAAGGTTAGGTTTAGGTCAGATTTCAGTTAGATTTAGTCATGTTTCAGTTAGGTTTAGGTCAGGTTTCGGTGAGGTTTAGGTCAGGTT